GGGGGCGGGGAACAGGGGAGGTCGGGGGGTGGGAACCGTGCGGCCCGGACAGAGTAGAGCTGCCACCGTCCCTCATCCACTCATCTCACACCTCCGCGGGCCGGGCGCTGAGCCTGGCGGAGAATGAAGCCGACCGGGGCCAGCGCCCCGGTGAGGGTGACGCCCCGGGGACTCGCACCCCCTGCCCGGGACGGTAACCACTCACCGTGTGCAGCCATCAGAATTGAAACGCACCAAAACTAAATAAAACTCACAGTCTGTTTTCTTCGCTTGCACCAGCCGTATCTCTTCTGGTGGGAATGGCGACCGTCTGGGGGCAGCGCAGGTGTAGCCCCGCTCCGTCCTTGCACAGAGCTCCCCCGGACAGCGCTCACTGAGGAGAGGACTTTGGCTTTTCTTCGAAGGATGTGGGAAGCCGCTGGGTGCTTTCGGGTTGTGAGCAGCTTGGAATGGGCAGGCAGAGGGTGGATATGCCAAAGCTGACACGGCCTCGTGTTAGCATGCGGCAACATGAGTGAGCCTTGCGGAATTTTCCGAAGAAGGCTTCAGAGGTTCTGCCCTAATGAAAAGGGACACTTAAGATTTTTCGTCGCCAAATATATTACAATGGTGCCTGAGATGGCTGGCCACTGTCGGGGCCCCGCGACTCACAGGGTGGACCGTCGGGACACCCCAGCCCCGGGGGGCTCTCAGTGCTGCCCCTTAGAATTTCAGAACTGAGCTCCTGGTTCTGGGGAGCATGTTTCCTCTGGAGGTCTGTCCTGGGGCTCTCTCTCTTCTGACCCCCCACGTAACAGACTAAAAGTATCTCCCCACTCGTGATTTCAGCTCAGGTCATGATCTCAGAGCTCGTGAGTTCGAGCCCCACGTCGGGCTCTCTGCTGTCAGCCCAGAGCTTGCTTCGGATCCTCTGTCTCCCTCTCTCTCTCCGCCCCTGCCCCTCCCCCAAGATAAAACCGTTTAAAAAGCCTTTCCCCCTGCTCTTCCTCCCAGACTTTCCCCTTTTGTGGGAGGCCACCTCCCTCTCCAGCCAGCCTGGCCGGATCCTCCTTTCTCAGCAGCAGGACCAATGGGCTCACTAGCCTGTGGTTACCATGGCAACCGGAGCTGGGCAGGTGGGAGTCCAGGTGGGGCCTCACTCGGTTTCCCCTCCTTGGAAGCCGTCTTGCCTGAGGCCAGCCCAGCCTTCCTAGGGCAGCACGGTCCTCCTCACTGTCGTCCAGACAGCCTCCCTGATTCCCCAGTGGCTGAGCCCCTCTTCCGGTCTCCCGCCCTGACTGAGGACCTGGCCCTTCTTCCGGGTCAGTGCCCAGAACACAGAGCGTGAGGTTTGTTTCCTAGTCGGACCTGGGTTTGAGTCCTGGCTCTCACTCGCTAAGGGATCTCGGGCGGTCGCCAGCCCCCTCGGCGCTCTGGTGCGCCACGCCTACAGTGGGAATGACAGTCCTGGTACAGGGTGTGTCTGAGCAGACGCCTGTGATGTGCAGAGAGCCCCGTGTGCAGCCCGCGTTGCACTCTGTAGCTGTGCGTTGGAGACACGTGCACCTGCGTGTACCCGCGTCCTGTGGGCCAGGCTCCAGTCCTGAGTCTCAGAGTGCTCTTCTGCGGGACCGGCTAGGACAGGTGAACATTTGGATTCCGGGGGTTTGTGAGCTGGTCAGGGAGCCTCGGTGATTACTGCCACTCTGGCCCTCCCGGTGCTCACCCCCAGGATCCCTGGGCTGTCTGGAGGGAGTCGGGTGGCATCCTTAGGAACCCTCCTGGAGCTCTGTGTTCTTCCAAGACGCAAGTCTGATAGAAGCAGGGAGAGAAATCCTGGGGGCCCCCCCACCCCCCGCCCTGGCGCTGGCCTCCCCTCTACCTCCGGCCTCCTAGGAGGGTCCCAGGAACCCAGTATGAAAACCACAGGGCCCATTCCACCAGTATGAGGGTGGTGATGGCAGCCCGACTCTGGAGCGAGAACTGGAAATAACAAAGTCACTACTGACTGCTGGATACCATCGTTGGTATGAATATCATGGCGGAGGACACGGAGGCCCAGCCCCATAGGGCCACTTGTCACCGAGGTTCCTGCCCTGCTGAGCTGCCTGGCGCATGTCTGCTCGGTGCTCCTGGCCCGGGACCCCGGATCCCATCCTCCTTTGACAGACGAGGGCACCGAGGCCCAGAGGGCGGGGCTGGCCGGGGTCCCACAGCCACCCCTGTCCCTGCAG